CCCTTAGCCTTCCGTCAGCCTGGATCATGGGCAGATGCACGCTCTACACACTCAGGGAGGTCTCCAGACGTGAACCAGGAACCTTTCCGTGTGAGGTTGCCACGCAGAGTGGTACATTCTGCCGCTGTGATTAATTAAAGCCAATTATTATTGGATTGTGTTAGTAGCTAAGATTGACTGTTTGTTTCTCATTTTAAAATAACACAATTTATTGATTTTTATATGTGTTTTGTTCTGTTTTTGCCCAAGGGTAATCACTCTCCAGAAAGAAAGGGAAAACAAGAAAGCACTCCCTTGTGTGGCACGTTCACACTGTGGTCACTTCTCCGTCATCTCTCCCCCCCTTTCAGGATTTTGGGCACACACACACACACACCCACACACACACACACAACTGGCATGGTTTTCTCTGTTTTATTTCTTTTCTTGAGAGGATTTTTTTGTTATAGGGAGCGTGTGCTCGCCAGAAAGACAGAGAGAGACAGAGAGACAGAAAGCAAGAAATCACCCCCCAGGGGGGATGGCCACGCCACAATCCCTTCTCCTCCTTTCTCCTCTCGGGATCTTGGGCACGCACGGACATGCACCCAGCGTGAGTTTAAGTCACCAGGTCCGGGACTCGAACCGTGGTTGACTATGTGGGAGTCCAGCGACATAGCCATTATGCTAACTGCTGGTCCCACAACTAGCATGTTTTTCAAACTACCAGGTCCAGGGCTCGAACCATGAGCCATGTGGGATCCAGCCTATATTGGTTAATGTACGTAATGTAGAACCTGGTGATAAATCTAGCCCTCTGCCTCAACGCGGAGTGCTTTCCATAAGCCGCATGCACGTGTGCGAGAGGAGCCTTTAAATGGAAGCAGTTATGGGAAGCTGTTACCCTAGATTATCTACTTAATCAGGTCAGGACCGGGGCCAGCAGGTGGCGTGGTGGTTAGAGCCGGGACTCTCCCGTGGACAACCACAGTTCAAGTCCTAGCTTTCTCTGTCCTTTTTTATCTGTCTCTCTGGTGAGCACACATGCCCTGTACCAAATTTTAAAATAAATTAATTAATTAAATTAAATGAATAAATCTAAGAAAAAATAAGGTCGGCATTTCGGTGGCTAACTTTTTTTATTTTTTAAGGATATGCACACTCCTGGGACTCTCCCGTGGACAACCACAGTTCAAGTCCTAGCTTTCTCTGTCCTTTTTTATCTGTCTCTCTGGTGAGCACACATGCCCTGTACCAAATTTTAAAATAAATTAATTAATTAAATTAAATGAATAAATCTAAGAAAAAATAAGGTCGGCATTTCGGTGGCTAACTTTTTTTATTTTTTAAGGATATGCACACTCCTTTGAGCTTCTTCTTCTTTTTTTTTTTTTTTTTTATTTATTTATTTATTTATTTTAATTTGACCAGAGAGGGACAGAGAGAGAGAGAGAAAAAGAGAGAGAGAGGGAAGGTGAGAAAGAAAGCCGCCAGGTCTGGGACTCGAACTGCAGTCAGCCATGAGGGAGTCCAGCACCCTTAATCACCACACCACCTGCTGGCCCCCGTGGCTAATTATTTTTAAAAGATTACTTTTCTTTTCTTTATTTATATCATTATTTTTATTAAAATGTATTTCTTTATTTTAATTTGACCAGAGAGGGACAGAATGAAAGAGAGAGAGGGAAAGTGAGAAAGCAAGCCACCAGGTCCAGGACTCAAACCACAGTCTGCCATGTGGAAGTCCAGCACCCTTAATTACCCTGCTACCTGCCAGCCCCTATTTTTTTTTAGTTACAGGGCATGTGCGCTAGATGGAGAGAGACAGCGAGAGAGGAAGTGAGAAATCACCCCCCGGAGGGGTAGTGCTGCAATCCTTCCTCCATTCTCCTCTCAGGATTTTGGGCACGCGGACATACACACCAGGCAGGATTAGCAATTCACCAGGTACGGACTCCAACGGCGCAGTCGGCCATGTGGGTTCCAGGGCCCTAATCTCCACCTCACCTGCTGGCCCAGTAATTAGCTCTCTTTTTAAAGGAATGATTCATTTAACTTTATTTATTATCATTACTCTTCAGTTTGACTAGAGAGAGATGGAGAGAGAGAGAGAGGTCCAGGACTCAAATTGTAGTCAGCCGTGTGGGAGTCCAGTGCCCTAACCACCACGCCACCTTCCAGTCCCAGCCTTTTTTTTTTTTTTAAAGAATTATAGAAAATTGCCATTCGGGAGACCAGGAGATGGGGTAATGGTTACGTTGCTGGACTCTCCATATGGCTGACTATGGTTCGAGTCCTGGACCCGGCGGCTTAAAACTCACACCAGGCATGTGTGTGTGCGTGCCCAAAATCCCGAGAAGAGAATGGAGGAGAAGGAATTACAGCATGACCATGCCCTCTGGGATGGGAGGGGGTGGTTTCTCACTTTCAGTCTCTCTGTCTCTTTGTCTCCTTGGTGAGCGCATGTGCCCTGTAGCAAAAATCTCTCTCAAAAAAAAAAATTTGACCAGAGAGAGAGGGAAAGTGAGAAAGCAAACCACCAGATCCGGGAGTTGAACCACGATTGGCCATGTGGGAGCTCAGCACCTTAACCACTAGATCACCTGCTAGCGCTCCAGTGGCTAACTTTTTTTAAAAAAATAATTCTTTATTTCATTTTATTTATTCATTCACTTATTTTTTAATTTGACCAGAAAGAGACACACAGAGAGAGAGAGAGGGGGGGAAAGTGAGAAAGCAAGCAAGCAAGCCACCAGGTCCAGGACTCAAACCATGGTCAGCCATGTGGGAGTGTCCAGTGCCCTAACCACCCAGCCACCTGCTGGTCTCGCCCAGTGGTTAACTTTTTAAGTTACCACATTATTAAAATATCAGATGTCAGTTTATAGCCACACGAAGCCTGGTAGGGAGCATGCACGGCAGCTTCATTCGCAATAGCCCAGCTGTTCAAACGTCAGCAGCAGGTGAAGCAATGAGCGGTGAGTGCTCTGTGCGGGCAATGGAACCCCAGTCTGCGGACGGACGGAGGGCGAGCTGCTGATGCAGGGGTGACTGCCAGGGAAAGATGGCAGACGGGAGGAGGCAGGTCATGCAGGATTCCTATGAGATTCCAGAAACTCAAAGTAACTTCCAGTGACAGAAAGCCATCTGTGGTCACTGGTGGGGTGGGAGAGGGAAGCCCTGGCTGCAGAGGATAGAGAACCTTTGGTGGGGGCAGTGCTGAGCACCCTGATGCTGCTAGCACGCTGGGGTGTTTACATCCGCCCATACTCATTGACTTGTGCACGTTTCATGGGTGAAGTTTACTGTATGTAAATCACACCTACTGTAGGAAAGAAAAAAATTAAGCGAAAAAGTTTCAATTCTCTTGCCAGCAAACGGTATTCAAATTCCTGACCAGACTTTTCTCGTACGCATTCATGGCACTTCTGCCCATTACCATTAGGTGGCAGCACGGTCTCCAGAGTGCGGAGACACCGTACATTTTTAGGTAAAGACTAGGGACAAAAACCAGACACCACTCGTGCTTTGGTACCAGCCTTGCTGAACAGCCTGTGTTCACAGCTATGCTGAGGACTCCTCGTTTCTTTAAAAGAAAAATAAAAACCTGAGTAACCACAAATTCCATTCCAGTAAATTCCATTCCATTTGGTGCTCAGGATAGGCGAGACACTGTGCTGGAAGGGAGAAAACAAAGAGGAAGAACAATCCATCCCTGCTTGTTAAAAACATGGACGACATGGCCGACCACAGTTCAAGGCCTGGACCTGGTGGCTTGCTTCTTCACTTTCCTTCTCTCTCCTTCTCCCTCTAAAGTTAAAATAAATACATAAAGTTAAATAATTCTTCTTAAAAAATAAGAGAATATTTAGATCATACTGTTGAGTTTAAAAAGCAACAGAGGGGGTCCAGCAGGTGACTGGATTCCCACATGACTGACTGCGGTTAAAGTCCCAGACCCGGCAGCTTGAAACTCACACCAGTCACACGTGCGAGCATTCCCAAAGTCCCGAATGGAGAATGGAGACGGGATTGCACGTGGCCATTCCCCCGGGGGGTAATTTCTCACTCTCCCTCTCACTGGCTCTCTCTGTCTCTCTCCAGCCTGTGGCAAGGGGGGGTAATTTCTCACTCTCCCTCTCTCTGGCTCTCTCTGCCTCTCTCCAGCCAGTGTATACACCCTATGGCAAAAAATCTTACAAACACACACATGCACACACACGCACACACACACACACACACACACACACACGAGAGAGAGAGAGAAGAAAAGAAAGGCAAGCTGGTTCCTACATGGCTGACTGTCCTGTTCAAATCCTAGACCTGGCGATTTAAGAAACACGCTGGATTGGGGGACCAGCAGATGGCGTGATGTTACGTCTCTGGACTCCCACGTAGTCAACTGTGGTTCAAATTCTGGACCCGGCAGCTTAAAACTCACTGCGGGCACGTGTGTGTGTGGGTGCCCAAAATCCAGAGAGGAGACGAGAAGGATGGCTGACTGTCCTGTTCAAATCCTAGACCTGGCGATTTAAGAAACACGCTGGATTGGGGGACCAGCAGATGGCGTGATGTTACGTCTCTGGACTCCCACGTAGTCAACTGTGGTTCAAATTCTGGACCCGGCAGCTTAAAACTCACTGCGGGCACGTGTGTGTGTGGGTGCCCAAAATCCAGAGAGGAGACGAGAAGGAGGGATTGCGGCGCAGTTATCCCCACGGCGGGGGGGATTCCTCGCTTTCTATCTCCCTGTCTCTCTCTGTCTCTCTGGCAAGCACAAGAATCCTATAG